AAACTTAAAAGATTAAACAATCTCAAAATTTTATCTGGTTTTTCAGGATATTATTAAAAAAGAAGTCGCAAAACTCTACCTTTGGCCACAAACTCTTCAAATACCCATTCTTGATTCTTCACTGTAAGTCCATCAAACGTTTTAATCTTTGACCAGTTGTTAAATACCTAAACTACCCTTCAAAGAAAGACAAACAAAGGGGCAAATTGGTAAAATTCTCACAATATTTTCTGGTCAGTGGTGCTGTGAAAAAGCCTGTTGGAGTGTTACATGTGAAAGTGATACGGGCAACGAAGTTGATAAAGATGGACATATTGGGACTTTCCGATCCATATGTAAAGCTTAAATTAAGTGGAGAAATGTTACCTTCGAAAAAAACAACAATCAAGAAAAAGACATTAAATCCAGTGTGGAATGAGACCTTCAAGCTTGTAGTCAAGGACCCTCAAGCTCAAACCCTTCAAGTTAATGTCTTTGATTGGGACAAGGTAAAATGACCAAAACACCCTTGGGTAGAAATGCAACTCTTTGTTAGAAATGTGATGATATCTGTGCTTTGTTCTTTAGGTAGGGAGCCATGATAGGTTGGGGATGCAAGTAGTGCCATTGAAGATACTACAACCAAACGAGACAAAAGAACTAACCCTTGATCTATTGAAGAACACCAACGTAACAGATCCACTGAAGAAACAACAGAGAGGGCAGATTATGTTGGAGATGACTTATGCGCCATTCAGGGAGGATAGTGATGTAGTAGTAACCGGGACCCTCAATACGCCGACTAAGAAAGAGAATGGTGCAGGGTTCGGCGGCGAAACCCCAATTGGTGCCGGCGTACTTTTGGTGACTGTGCAAGGGGCTGAAGATGTTGAAGGAGAGCATCACAACAATCCATACGCCGTGATTATATTTAGAGGAGAAACAAAGAAAACAAAGGTCAATTCAGAGTTCTTTCATACCAATTCTGAAGTTGAAATCGCATTCTTTGACCTAATGATAGTAATGATCTTCAACTTTTCATAACAGATTATTAGAAAAACTCGAGATCCGAAGTGGAATGAAGAGTTCCAGTTTATGCTTGAAGAGCCTCCGATACATGACAAGATCCACATCCAGATTATGAGCAAGAGAACGCGAATGAGTTTCTATGCAAAGGTTTTCTGCTCTTAATTTACTAATTTCATGAATTTCATGGTTTTAAAGTACCGATTTGAATGATGTGCAGGAATCACTAGGACATGTGGTGATAAACCTTGCTGATGTAGTGTACAATGCGCGGATTAACAATAAGTTTCATCTCATAGATTCGAAGAACGGCCTGGTACATGTCGAGCTCCGGTGGAGAGAAACTTGATGTTACTCGATGATGGCGGAGTCAAAATCGGGAGTGGTATAGTCAACGTGATGTACTTTTGAGCTTTTTTGAAATAGTGTTTATGTTGATGAGATGTGAATTAGTTCTATACTTCTATACATATTGGAAAAAGAAAAAATACATAAATATATATAATTGGAATTTGGTTAAGATCTGAAATTCTGAATTCATTTATCGATATACTTAGATTCATTGTGCTAATTTTCCAAAAAATAAAGATAAACTGTAATTTATTTTTTTGGAACGGCAGCAAACTTTTTGACATGGGCCACAAATTGGAGGGTATCGGAGGGATGTTTCTCTCGTTTTTTGTGGGCCACATCAATTTTTCCTCATTTTTCTTTCCCTCACCTAAAACCCAAGGAATGGGTGGAAAGCTTCCCTCACTATTTTTTTTAAATATATTTCATACATATATTATACTCATTTTGTAGGGAATTAAAAACCATGAATTTATATAATTTTATAAATATTAAAAAAGATAAAAAAAAAAGAACTGACCAATAGAACGAGGAGAGAGAGTGCGGCACCCCCTTCTCCCACCTCTTTCCTGAGGGCTGCTTCCCTCACCCACGGTACGGTGTTCCAATGGGAGGGAAGCTTCCCGCTTCCATTCCTTTCGGCCTTAGAATTAAGTAAATAAAAAAAAAAAACCCAAATCTATTTGGGTTACGAGGTGTGTGTGGGTTGGTGTTTGGTGGGGATGAGGATAGGGTGTGTTGAGTGTTTGATGTGGTTTGAGTTAGGGTGTGGGTGGGATGGAGGTGAATAGGTAGGGGTACGGGTATAGGTCGATGCGTGTGGTTTGTAACTTTGTATATTTTTGAAAACTTTTGGAATTGAAATATAAAAAAATCATAATTATTAGTTTTTTAAGTCCTTTGTAATTTTGAAAAACATAACAAACATGTTTTTAAGAAAAGAATTTAGCAAGTGCGTTTTCAAAATTTCACTTTTCTTAAAAAAAAATTCCAAAAATAACTATAGTGTTTTATACAACCAAACACAACTTTAGATCTCTATATACCCTCAATTCTCTCTATTAGATGTTTCGTAGGTTTTGAGTTTTCATCTTCAAATCTAGATGATAAAATTGTGTTTGTTTTGATTTCGAAAAACCAAGATGGCATTGTTTCATGCATTTTGGTTCTCAGATGAAGACTAAAATCGATTAATCGTCGATTTCATATTTTTCATCACAACAAAAACATGGTGAGATAGTGGGATTAGGTCCATTTAGGTTTTGATTTCTTATAGGTTTGGTTTGTTTGATAATAGAGTGATAAAGGAATAGAAGGATTACAACATTACACATGATCATGTTATATAATAGAATGTTTCATTGATAAATGATAAACAGTGAAGTTAAACCTCATATAAATAGGGATACATAAGAGACCTAATCTAAACCCTAAAGGGCTTGGGCCAAAACCCTAATCACTAACATCCCCCTGCATTTTGATCGGGAGGGGACGATTAAACTGGAAAAAAGAAACAAAAGAACGAAACATAAAAATTAGATGAATACAACGGCAACGACAGAATCAGAACTCTAATGATGACGGCTAACAACTGCTGCTTGTCGGAGAATAAGTGGCATTTAGAGGCGGTTATGTTGTAGAAGAAGAGAAGAGTGACAACAACGACGATCATGGAACTGACAGCAGAGGAGTCCGGAGAAAGGCAGCGAGAAAGAAAGAGGGCTCGAGATGCGACACGATTACAGTGTTAATAGAGAGAGACAAATGCATATCATAGGTTGACTTGGAAAATAGATCTGAAGAAGACGTGGCCAACCGAGGAGGAGATAGAAGGGTCGGAGGCAGGGGCCATCAAAGGACAAGGCAATAGAAGAAGCCGATGAAGAAGCTCTGTTTGGTACCAGTAGTTGTTTTATTATTTAGGAGGAGAAGAGAAGAAAGTAAATAATATGAAACAGAATGAAGGCACCTCCGACGACTATTAGAGAAATGTCACCGGAGGTGGAAGGCGGCGGTTGGGGGTTGTGATCAGTAAGGTTTTAACCGAGAGCTGTGATACCATATTATATAATAGAATGTTTCATTGATAAATAGTGAGATTAAACCTCATATAAATAAGGATACATAAGAGACCTACTCTAAACCTTATAGGGTTTGAGCCAAAACCCTAATCACTAACAGATCGATCAAAATGTGGTGGTGCAGAGCCTTTACGAGGCAGGGGGTAGATATAGAGATAAAGAAAGGTTTGGTTCTTTCACCAATCTCAAAATTTTACTCGTGGTTTGTTCTTGTTTGATTTTACAAAGTGTTGGATAGTAAGTTTCTGAGTTTCAGTAGAGAAAATAAAAGAAGTAAAAAGAAAGTAAGGAGAGAAAGGAAGATAAAGGAAATAAAAAGAAATTTGTTTTTTATGTTTCCGAGTTGGAGAGAAATGAAAGTAAAATTAAACATTTTGTTCTTTCTCTTCAGATCCTTCCAAATTGGAAGGAAAGTTAGGAGGAAAAATGATCATTTTATTTCCTTCCACTTGCATCCTATAATAAAACTCGGTAACACTAATTTTTTTTTTTTTTTTTTACTTTCTTTTCATTTCCACCTATTTCTTTTTTTTTTCTCTCGTTAAGCTGAACTCGAGAACGAGTTGTAAATAAATAAAGATGAAAAGAGTATGGATGAGTTAGGTGTGGTCTCATCTTGTTTTTAATTAAATATTTTTTTTAAATGAAACATGTCTATAGTTTTTTAAGATATTTTTTGAGGACGACCAAATTTGCAAAATTATTTAGTAGATGATTCAAAACTAATCGATAGTAGGAAGTTGATAATTAGTAGTTGAAAACAAGGTTGTTAAAATCTCAATTTTGATCTTAAAATCTTATGATTTTAAGATCCTACAACTAAAAAACGATCTCGATCACATTACGATCCCGATCTCACCTCTTTAGTTATAATATATTGTCGAGTATCAAAAAAATAGTATATTCAACTTTAAATCAAGCACCGCAAGTTGCAAGAAATCTTGAAGATAATCAAAATTTCATCAATTCATCTCAAATTAGGCATGACACACTCATAAAAATCTATTTGTGATCTTATGTTTTTAGTTGTATATGATCAAAATGATATATATATATATATATATATATATATATATATATATAATTAAGTTGTTTTTTTTTAAAATTTTACGGTTTGTAACAACAAAAAATATGGTTCATTTAAAGTTGATTCCATATACTATATACTTCACACGAAATATCTTATGAGTAAATTTAAATATGATTTAGGATCTTTCGATCCCGATCCTAATCCCATATTATGATTCTGAAGAACCTTGGTTGAAAGTTTCTTTTCAATAGTATCTACGTACCTTAAAATAATATTTTTAAAACTCATTTTTCAACTAAAATTCAAAATAACTAGAAACTTTCTTTTCTTTGAAAATATCTTAAAGTCCTCAGAAACTTTCTTTGAAAATCTGCTAAAACCTCTCCTTTAAAGTCAAATAACCTTTATTAATTATTATATACCCCCAACGACCTCAACACTGGTCTCGATCAAATCGACTACTTTTCTCCACAACCTGAACTCACATTCATCCATATCAAGATCCGAACGAATTACAAGATTATTCACTCAAAATGATAATCGATATAGTGATGCAAGTTGCTCTAATTCTCATCACCCTCTTCATGTTCCTATGGATGCAAAAGATTCCTCAAAATCTCTTCACCAAATTCCGTTACAGAAACCGATCCAGTTACTCCGCCAAGCGTCACTTCATCATCGGCGCTCAGCTCTTGGCTAAATCCAGATCTACCAAAGACCGATCATCCGCCATTAAACTAGCCAAAACCGCCGCCGAAGAAGCTGACAAATCCATCGCTCTCGATCCAAAGGACGCCGCGTCACACATACTCAAAGCCCTAGCTCTCGATGTGCAAGGTTTTGGCACATCGGCTTTGGAAGCGCTTGATGTCGCGCTGTCGCCATTGACGTCGAAGTCGTTGAGCAGCGAAGAGAGAGGAGATGCGTTGTTGAAGAGGGCAGAGATCAAAATTAAGGGTAGTAAGAGAGGGCTAGTTGACTCAGCGATTGATGATCTGCAGCAATCAGTGAAGTTGAAAGGGGATAAAGCGACGGCGTTTCGGTTGTTGGGAGAGTGTTATGAGAAGAAAGAAATGAAGGAGGAAGCGGTGGAGGCGTATGAAGGTGCACTCAAGGTTGACCCCAAGTGTACTCCGGCTCAAGATGCATTGAATCGATTGGGTTCAAGTTCAATTTCAACACAGTGAGATCTAACAAGTAGGGAGAAAAATTCGTACTTTTATCTTCCATTTTATTATATAAATGCTTCTTTTTCTTTTCAATCAAATGACAGCCGAAAGAACACACAATATTCAGCCACGAATCTCATCTTTTCGTGCACTCTATCTATGTTAATTCCTTTGCTATTGAGTACTCTTGAAAATCTTTCTTTAAGACCTAACATATATGAATAGTGAGATGAAAGAGCAAAAGGGTGATAACTGATAAAGGAGTAGGATTCTTATATATATACATTTGGGAAATGGTAATTGAAGAATAGTTGTTAATTGAACTGATTTAGGCAGTTGTCATAGTTTTTTTTTTTTATGGATTTTTGAGAAATAGTCTCTTGCATGTTTGTTACAATATGTATTCATTATAATCAATTAACATTTTGTTTACAAAACATGTGTATAGATGGAGGCATCAACTCGTATCTTATCATATTTAATATACATGAAATTATATTACAAATGATTCTAATTTCTATCATTTAATTTTCATCATTCTATCTTCTGAAATTCTTGGGGATTGATTGATTCCAAAAAAAAAATTACGAAATCAAGCATATTAGAGTAAAAACCAGTTTTAAAAAACGGATCCAATTAGAACTATGACATATCAACTCATTCAGCGATAGGTTATTAAGAAGTTAATGCTTCAATAGAAAGGACCTTTGATAGCCACAAATAAAATTGCGCTGCTTCGTCAGATAGGAATATTGAAAATGTATCGGTAGGATCAGTAATTGTTGCAGATAGCTTGTGGCTGTAAATGTTGAAATGTTTGTTGGAGAAATGTGTATTTTGCAATCAGATATCAAAAACACACCCTTTACTATAAAACACATTTTAGTCAAATAGCATCATTATACTAATAATTAAAAATACCTTTTAATAATCAAATAATAATTACTTCATTTACTTTTACTTAATATATTTTTAATTATTCATTTACTTTCACTTAATATATATTAATAAATATCTATAATTCTATACTATTATTTAATAAAAGTAATTGAAAATAACTTGAAACCCATCCCATTTTTTCTTTTAACCCTTAAAACCCTAGCAAAGTTTAAAAACTATATTTTTCTATCTTTTCTCTTTTGAGAGAGCATCACATCACCATCAAATACCACTCAACCATCAGACCATTGTGGTCATCAGTCCACCATTGTCATTAGACTGTCGGAACACCTGTTGGATTAGGTGTCTAAGCCATAACTATATTTGGTATGTACTTGACCCGGTTGTAACATGATTCTTTTGGGTTGCCTTCACTGGAGCAACTTGACTGAATGAATAATGGAGAAAGAGGTTATTATGGTTTATTAATATATTATATGAATAATATATTAAAAGAGAAATCATATTTGTTTAATTAATATTGGTCAAAAATTAATTTAGAATTAATTTTGTGGTCAAAAGAGATTAAGTGAATTAAAGGGACTGAACTTGTAATTATTGGATAATTGCAAGATGGGCTGAGGAACCCTTGGAAAGGGGTTGGACGAAATCCTTATGGATAGCCCATAAGATTTCGTCCAAGGAGGGATTCTGAAAGATTCTTATGGGCTGCTTAGAGCCTAAGCAACCGGATAAGTGTTTGACTGAAACCCTAATTCTTCGCCTATATAAAGGATCCATAGGCTTCATAATTTTGGCGACACCAACCCTAAGAAGAGTTCCAAGAGCCGAAATTACCTTCCCCTCTCTCTCTAAGATTCTCCAATTTGCTTCGGTGTTTGTGATCTATTAGAGGCACAACATTTAAGGTGCTAAGGTTCTCAAAAGCTCAAGATCTTCAAGCTACAATCAAAGGTAACTTTCTAACTTGTTTATTAGATATGATTTTCGATTTTTATTGTATGCTAGACTAGGGTTTGTAAGTCTTGGACAATTATTGCATGTACAAAGTAGAAAAACTAGATCCAAGCATTAGGGTTTGCACGAACACCATATGAATGTTGTTTTGCTCATAACCCAACAGTAGTATCAGAGCCTATGATGTTTTTCTATTGTATTTGATGCCTTGTTAATTGTTCATAGCTGAAATAAGAAAAAATTCATTTTTTTGGTTTCTGACTCGACTCACGACGTGACACAATGCATGTCACGACGTGAGTTCTGTAATATGCTGAATCTCGAATTTTCTGCCCTAATTTTGGTTAGATAATTACCATATATTGTTTTTCAAATTTAAAAATCAGATTTTCTGTTAATTAATATCTTAATCAAATAAATGGATAATTGTCAATTTAAGATAATTACTTGTTTTATAAGATAAAGATTAATTATTTGTATTTTAATTTGAATTATCTTGTCAAGAAAAAGGATTAGGTCATATTATGTGATAATTATTGATTATATGATATTTAATTATTTTTCAAATTTGATCTAAAAGATGTTTTGAAAAGTTCAAAATATGCCCTCAAGTTTTGGAATTTAAATTTTTGATTAATAGTTTTAATTTTGAAATATTTAAATTCTAAACCCTAGAGTTTTAAAAGTTAAAATTCAACCCTTATACTATTATAATATTAAAAGAGTAATAATATATATATCTATATATATTATATATATATATATATATATATATATATATCTATATATATATATAAGATAAAGCTAGTCTTACCGTTAGTAGGCCTCATTTATGAAGTCGATCTATAAGGGGGTATAAAGTTGATGTCTATAAAATGACAGTTTAATGGGTGTCCACTCTCACCCACCGCTTCCTTGATTGGTGGATGGTCGTTAGCCGAACGGGTAGGATAGACAACCAATTCCTCATTAATAAGTATAATGATTATAATAAAGTAACTAAATGTTTTTATAAAATTCCAAATCTTAGTTACTTTAGGAAAAATGTGAAAATGTATGTTATTCCATGAAATTACACTTTGCACATTGCCAAGTCGTTAGTGGAGCGTGTGTGGTTAACCGGCACACTAATTCAGGACTAGCAAAGGTGGCAAAGGGTAACTTGATGTTTATCATAGATCAATGGAGCGTGTGTGGTTAACCGACACATTGATTAGGTGGTAAATGACATCGAGAGTACCAAGTACATTTGCATGGTTATTCACACCTTGTTTTTGATCCTCGGTATCCCAGTCACAAACTTGAAGGGCATAATCGAGATTTAAATATGCCATTGAAAAGTTCAATGAATCTCAAAAGAATCTAGGAATTTCAATTCATTTAAAACTTAAAGTCCTTTTTCGTTTTTCATGGTGGAAATTGGTAAATCGTCATTTACCTACCTTCATGTTATTTGCAATTAGATTACAGCATCTCTTTTCTGAATTGTAAATAATCATGTTGGATCCTAGCCCTAATTTCTCATTTGGGTGTTTAATTGGGGATCATTATCTAATCTAAACTTTGTTCCTTTTCTATTTCAGATGTCTACTCAAAACAACAACAACGCTTCTGGCTCGACCCCTTCTGGCCCATTCTCACTCATGAACTTGTGTGGGAGGGTGATATTCGATGGGACCAACTTCAATGATTGGATCCGCAACATTCGCATGGTCACCCGCTACGATGACAAAGAGTATGTTCTCTACAAGGAGCTGAAAGAGGTCAACGTCAACACTCCTACTCCTGAAGAAATTGTTGCTTACGAAACTTATGAGCGAGATGATACGAAGGTTCATTGCATCATGCTCGCAACAATGACTGCTGAACTCCAAAAGTCCTACGAGGACTACTATCCCTACGAGATGCACCAAGATTTGATGGAACGTTACCATCAAAGTGCCAGGTAGGAGAGGTATGAGATCATCGCCTCGATGATCACTACCAAAATGAAGGATGGAGAGTCCATCACGGCCCACTTGCAGAAAATGCAGAGATTCGTGGACCGTTTGTTGAAGTTGAATGTGAACTTTGACGAGGAGCTGGCCATAAATATCTTTCTTCACTCATTGCCTCCTTGTTATGATCAGTTTCGTATGACCTATCATATGAACAAGGAGGAGGTCACTCTGAGCAAACTTCAAGGCCTGCTAAGGACTGCTGAGTGTAGTCTGAAAGGCAAATCTACTGCATCTACTCCTACTACTGCTGCCCATGTCTTGGCTATTGGGCAAGGGAAAGGAAAGGAGATGAAGGCTCCTTCTAAGAGCCACAAAGGGTAAACCCCATGATGGATCCTCTTCTAGTGGGACCAAAGCTGGTTCTGCTACCCCCTCTTTCAACCCAAAAGAAGCAGAGTGCTTATATTGTCACGACAAAGGGCATTGGAAACGAAGCTGCCCGAAGTATCTGCAGGACATCAAGGATGGGAAGATAAAGCCATCATTCGTAGGTATTTATAATATTCAATCTAACAACTCATCACATGCTATTTCTTGGGTCCTTGATACAGGATGTGGTTTTCACATTTGTTCTGATTTGCAGGGTCTAAGAAGAAGTAGGGATGTGGAGCATGGGAAAATGAACCTGATCATGGGGAATAGGAAAACGTCGCCTGTCACAAAGATTGGAGTTTACTCTTTAGTGCTTAGTAGTGGGTTAGGATTAGATTTAAATGATTGTTGCTACTCGTCAGAAATGGCGAGAAACATTATTTCTTTTCATGGTTTGTACAGACAAAGTTTTAGATTTTCGTTTAATAATGAAATTGGTTCTATTAAAGCTTTCTTGAATGGTACTTTCTATTTTGAAACATTGCCTTGTAATGGAGTATATGAAACTATGAATGTTGTAGATAACTTAGGAGATAATGTGTTGCATATCGATTCGTCCAATGGTTTGGACAAAGCATGCTTGTGGCATTGTCTTCTTGGACATGTCAACAAGAAACGCATAGCCCAACTCCAAAAGGATGGAGTGTTGGAGTCATTCGACCTCAAATCGGATGATACATGCGAATCTTGTTTACTTGGAAAGATAACCAAGTCACCCTTCACTGGTACTTGTGAAAGGGGTGCGGGTTTATTAGATCTCATACATACAGATGTATGTGGACCTTTTAG